TCTAGGTGCTGAAGTCTTCCAGGTATGTCCTTTGATTTGTCAACTAGTGTGCTTGAAGGTTGAAGGAACTATCTTATTTTCTATGATATAAAAAAGTTAGAGAGTTAATTGCATGCTACTTTTTAATGCATCCAGAGATCACTTGCTTCATATATCAAAAAGCATGCTTACTCAAATGCAAAGACAGAAGATTTGTGGGCTGCCCTTGAGGAGGGATCTGGTGAACCTGTAAACAAACTAATGAATTCATGGACACAGCAGAAGGGTTACCCGGTTATTTCTGTCAAAGTCAAAGATCAGAAATTGGAGTTTGATCAGGTTTCCTTATGTTTGCTTCTTTCAAAGTTGTTTGGTTATCAAATGAAATTCTGAAAGATCCTCTCGAGCTCTAATGCACATATAAGCTGTTAAGTCATTTGTTTAGGTTTTATTCCACGGTACAAGGACATGAACAAAGATCTAATAGGTAAATTAATGTATGGCAGACACAATTCTACTCAAGCGGTTCCCAAGGTGATGGGCAATGGATTGTGCCGATCACATTATCCTGTGGCTCGTATAATGTACGCAAGAATTTCCTACTACAAGCGAAGTCTGAAACTCTTGACATAAAGGAATATCTGGGTTGCTCAGTAGGAAAGGCTGGATGTGGAGGCACAAGCAACAAAGACAATGCTTTATGCAGTTGGATAAAAGTCAATGTGGATCAGACTGGTTTTTACAGAGTGAAATATGAGGATGAACTTGCAGCTGCGCTTAGAAACGCTATCGAAAAGAAGCAATTATCTGAAACTGACAGATTTGGTAATCATTTTGTACACATGCTTGTTTATCTCTTTGATAGCGAAAGTTTTCACCAATTTTTTTTTTCCTTTCATAGGCATTTTGGATGATTCCTTTGCCCTGTCAATGGCTCGCAAGCAGTCTTTTGCTTCATTGCTTACCTTGTTGAGTGCATACAGAGAGGAACTTGACTATATCGTGCTGTCAAATTTGATTACTGTAATGATCACCCCTGCATTGTGTTTATGTTACTGCATTGATGACCTTGGCCTGATTCTGGTCCTCATGTTTCACAGATAAGTTATAATCTGGCAAGAATTGCAGCTGATGCTGTACCCGGACTACTGGATCACATTAAACAATTCTTTATTGGACTTTTCCAGTATTCTGCAGAGTAAGCTTGTTCTTTTCTCAATAACTCAAATGCCTACGTAGATAAACTATCAGGACACAAGATTTGCTTCTGTCTTTTTCTTTAATTTTGTTCAAAGTTTGTTATTTATGATGGAATTTCTTTACAGGAGGCTTGGTTGGCAGCCTAAACCGGGCGAAAACCATTTAGATGCAATGTTGAGAGGAGAAATTTTGACTGCACTTGCTGTTTTTGGTCATGACCTGACGTTAGATGAAGCAAGTAGGCGTTTTCATGCCTTTATAGAAGACAGAAACACACCCCTCCTTCCCCCAGACTTTAGAAAGGTTGCTTTGACGTAAATCATTAATTACACATACCTAATTAAACTTTTAAGTTCATCGTTGATGTTAATTATGAACTACTGTTGCAGGCAGCATATGTGGCTGTAATGCAAAGAACAAGCGTATCTGACCGATCAGGCTATGAATCTCTTGTTAGACTCTACAGAGAGAGTGATCTAAGCCAGGAAAAAACCCGCATTCTAGGTAAACATAAGTAATTAGTAAAATAATGTTGAACATATGAGGCTGTTAGATTGTAGCAGTAACCGATGTGTCTGTGCCTGTAGGTTCTTTAGCGTCTTGTCCCGATCCCAATATTATACTGGAAGTTCTCCACTTTATATTGACTCCTGAGGTATTTCAGATTTTCTCTCTCTTAATTGGAGGTTGAAGTTTTATACTAGTAATAACTTTGAGAATCTTAAAGCTTGATGATATACTGACTTTAATGCCCGTCTACGTAGGTTCGCAGTCAGGATGCTGTATTTGGACTTGCTGTTAGTAATGAAGGTCGGGAAACAGCTTGGACGTGGATGAAGGTAACTCTCACTGATTTACGACATACTACGAAATGTTTCTCACTTTTGTGGATTTTATCTTTCTTTTCCCACTTTCGTTACTATGATTCATTTTTCCATTTGGATTATCCGAAACACAGGATAACTGGGAGCACATCTCAAAGACCTGGGGGTCTGGATTTCTAATTACTCGCTTTGTCAGTGCAATTGTTTCACCGGTTCGTTCTTTCTTTCTCTAGAAACTTTCGTTCTTATGCTCGAGGTCTTTTGCTGTGGAACTTAGATTTCTAATACCTTGTTATTTCCTTCTACCTTCCTCTGCAGTTTGCTTCGTTTGACAAGGTTAAGGAAGTAGATGAGTTCTTCAAAGCACATCCCAACCCGAAGATAACTAGAACAGTGAAGCAGAGCATTGAGCGGGTGCAAATCAACGCCAAGTGGGTTCAGAGTGTTCAGAGCGAGAGAAACCTTGCCGAAGTCGCGACGGAGTTGGCGTACCCGAAATACTAGGGCTCCATGTTTGGCTGCTTCTGTATTTTAACGAAGATTATGTCTGGGACTGGATTTCCAAACTTATGTAACTTGAACTTGCCAAAACAAAGAATAAAGATACATAAATAATTGCACTAGTATTCTCTCATGAAAAATGCAACCATTGCTTGAATCTCGTGTGATCTTTTATAAGATGGAGACTGATAACACCACGTAACGCTGTTACGGTCGTAAAAACAAGTTACTCCACTTGATTGCCGTATGTTTTCTGAACCGAATATAATGCATACATAATTTATGTAGAATCTAGAATTCGAAAAACGTAAAGTTGGGTCATGCATTATGGTGAATGTTCCTGATATCAGGGCTGCAAAAATATCGAGATAAAAACTGTTGTTTTGGAAGAACATGATTGCTTGATGATATGAATGAACTGGTTTGATGCAGAAAAAGCTTCAACATCAGATTCCTAAGCTCAGCGGTAGGAGCGTGCTGATAACGTGTTGTAGCCTATTTTATCTGACAAGAAGGTAAGGGCTGGCGGCAAGGGTAGAGAGAGATGTGTTTGTAGAATCGTAGGGGAATTGTGTATTGTGGATGTTGTTGTTCATCTTTCGTAGTGCCTTTATTTATGGTAGTAAAAGGAGAGAAGAAATTTTTCATCCACATGGTAGTGCCTTTATTTATAGTAGTAAAAGGAAAAAAGAAATCCTTAATCCCCAAGGAATACAAGTCCATATAAGAAAGAATAACTAGAATCAAATCAAATCTAGGATTTACACAATCACACTTAAACTAGGAAAGTTCATAACAATACTTTAATTTTTCACACGTATATAATCATTTATTTGTAGCATAATGCCGATCCTCCCCTTCTTCAAATTTCTTTTGTTGTTGATTTTTGCCTTGTTTTTGTTTTCTTTCCCTTGCAACATCAAATTATCGTCCTTATATTCTACAAAATATATTTTTTGGCACAAAATCTCTTATAAAGAATCAAAAAACAACATAAAACCTAAATAACTATTTATCTAAACCGTGGTTCGAATTAGGAGGATGCCCACCTTCGCGCAATTGGTGGCTGGCTGTGGTTGGACACGCTCTAAAATCACCTCATGCATACTCCTCAGTCCTCATGAGTTGGAATTTCATATGGATTGTAATTTTATTTTGAATTTTTGCATTGGAAACTGGTTAACGTCAAAAACCAAGGCTATATTAAGCCCCCGTCAAGGAGAAAGGTGTCAAGACCAATTTCTTTGACCAGGCTAGACTAATGGATATACCTAATCCAGTGCTCAACTTACCAGGGCAGTTGAACACAACTCACTTAGATGCCTCAGACTTCATTGTGGAAAGAGGGAGTGAAGTGTACCAGTCCGATTGAATCATTTATGTTTGATGTATTTTTATTCTGAACTTGTAGTTTAAAACTCGCATTTCAATTCAATAAAAGTGATATTTCAATTTCCTTTTATTATGAATAAATTGTTTTTTAACTATGATTCCATTTACTCAGAAAGCATAGATAAAAATTGTGGTTATTCTCAAAATATGAGAAATGGCAGAGATATGTGTCTTGCAGACAGCGCAACCACGCATACAATACTTCGTGATCGAAGGTATTTCTCAAGCTTAATGCTTACAAAAGTAAGGGTAACAACAATATCAGAGCAATTATATGTAATTGAAGGCTCAGGGTAAGCTCAGATTATGTTACCAAATGGAACAATATTGTTCATACAAAATGCGTTGTATACTACTCGATCTACTCGAAATTTGTTGAGTTTCAAAGACATACGTTTAAATGGATACCACATTGGAACAAAAAATGCAGAAAATGTGGAGTATTTATGCGTTACCTCTAATGATACCCAAAAGTGTATATTGGAGAAGTTGCGAGATTTGTTGAGTGGATTATATTATACATACATAAAGACAGTTGAACCATATATTGTCATGATCCAAAAGTTCATTATTCAAAGGTTTCCATACTTTGGCATGACCTTCTGGGCCATCCAGGATCCACCATGATGCGTAGTATCATTACCATCTCTAATGGACATCCATTATTGAGCACACACATTGCTATCTTAAATGATAACCCTTGCAAAGCTTGTTCTCAAGGGAAGTTGGTAATAGCTCGCACTGTTCCTCATGTCTATACTCAAAATGGTTTAGTAGAATCATTGATCAAGCAGATTTAGTTAATAGCTCGCACTCTACTCATGAAAACAAAATTGCCAGTTTCTGCATGGGGACATGCCATCTTGCATGTTGCATCATTGATTCAATTGAGACATATAGCCAACCACCAATACTTCTCAGTAAAACTCGTGTTTGGTTATCAGCCAAACATTTCACATTTACGAGTTTTTTTTTATTGTGTTGTTTATGTGTCTATTGCACCGCCATTTTAACGAGTCAATCGAAGACTTGTGACCATCCAAAGAGGAGTGTTGTAAAATAGTGTATGTCCACTCAAATAATTAAATAATGAGCAAGTTGCCCTTCCACTGTCTGCCAAAGCTTTCTTCCTACGATTGCTATTTTCTATATAAATACAAACCTCACACAACACCAAAGTAGAGAGACCTACGGCAGAGAAAGAGGAAGGAAGAGGAAGAAAGAAAGAAAGAGAGGAAAAAGAGAGGAGAAAATAGTGAGACTTATCTTTGCAATCTTAATCATTCACATAGTGCCGTGCACCAACCCATAACCTTCCATTTTTATTTATTTATTTATTCATTTTTTCTTTTCTTTTCTATATGGTGTGGATGCATCATCAGAAACCTTTGTCCTTTTCTCCTTTTGTGTCAGCATCATGCACCAAAATTCCACCTTTCCAATCCTTTTTCATACGATGCTTGAAACACCATTCCATAATCCCTCCTTCCTTTATGTCTCTACCAGTCTCCCAGGGCCAGCTGGGTTCCTGTAGAGGTCACACATAACCAATTCAATCCAAAAGGTTCTAACGAATTTACGAAAATGATCATAACGGCACGTTTTGATGAGTTGAGGAATTTAATGATAATAAACTTTTAGTTGATGGATGATTGCTCCAACTAAGTTAAAATTAAAGGATTGTTACTACAATTAGTCGATCATTTCATTATGTGTCAAGAGATATTTGCTAAATTAATTGCGGATCATATTGTCAAAAAATGAAGTCCAGACCGTACGTTGCAAGCTGTAAAATGGCGACAATTGATGAGTCCCAGTAGCACACTTCCGAAATCTGAACTCGATCAACTCTCGCGCAGCTCGCAAGTATCACACTCGTCGTCGCTGCTATGGAGCAGTTTAAAGGCCAGCCCCGGCTTCCGAAATTCGCCGTCCCGAAACGATACGACGTAAGGCTGATGCCAGACCTCGTCGCCTGCAAATTCGGCGGCTCCGTCGACATCGACCTCGATATCGTCGCCGATACCAAATTCATCGTTCTCAACGCCGCCGAGCTCTCCGTCAATGCGGGCTCCGTTTCTTTCGCTCACGGCGGCTCGTCCAAGGTAATCGATGCGCATTTGATTTTCAAATTTGTAGAACTGACTGAAAAAAGAAGTAGAATGGAGAGTGAGGTGTTTGGCTGATGAAAATTTTCATTCTTTTTATGTCGATTTGTTAATTAATACTCGATTAGTAAGTCTAAGTTCAATTAATCAATCGTTGATTAGTTTTAATTTTGGTTTAATTACTGCTCTGTTCATGATTTGTGGGCAAGTGAATGGATTGGAATTGATAAGATGATTGTAACGTTGCCAACTTTACTGCCTTGTTTGGCTGCACGGATAACGTAGGAAATGGAAAGATTATTTGGAATTCATTTAGTGCGTTGTTTGGCTACTTGTGTCTTTACTGAATGAGTAAATGAATGTTTGAGCAGGTTTTCAAGCCTTCGAAGGCCGAGACGTTTGAAGACGATGGAATTTTGGTTTTGGAGTTTGGAGAGATGCTTCCGATTGGGTCTGGAGTTTTGGTTATTGAATTTGAAGGAATTTTGAATGACAAGATGAAGGGTTTCTACAGAAGGTAGCTTTTGAATGCAGGAACTTTTGCGCAGTCCATCTTCGATTGTTCGTTCAGTATTATCATGTCCCAATGGTATAGATATGTCTAAGATTTGATTTGTTTTGTGCAGTACATATGAGCACAATGGTGAGAAGAAAAATATGGCAGTTACGCAGTTTGAACCCGTTGATGCCAGGCGGTGCTTTCCGTGTTGGGATGAACCTGCTTGCAAGGTTACTGTCTCTCTCTCTCTCACACACACACAGTTGACTTAAGATATTGATTTTCATTGCAGGAGGAGGGGGAAGGTGTCAGGTAGTCGATAGCCGGCACTCCTATCTTACATCGAATCCTTGGGATGCGATCATACCAACTCACATGTATCGGATCCCATATGAACTCCAAAGTTAAGCGAGTTTGGGCGAGAATATTACTAGGATGGGTGACCTGCTAGGAAGTCCTTGTGTTGCATCCCTACAGCCGACCCCACCTAGTGGGAAAAGGCTTAGAAGAAGAAGATCAAGTGATTTTGTTTACACCATTCTGGATATACATTGTTATAAATGCATTTTTGAGACTAGGTAAAAAGAGATCTATTGTTTAAGGTGGTAGTAAAGATGAGAAATCAATCTTCCCATTCTGGTTAAATTGTTCAAATATAGAGTTTATGACTTGCTGGCTATTTGTTTGGCAGGCTACATTCAAGATTACACTTGATGGTGTTCCGTCTGAACTAGTAGCCCTTTCTAACATGCCGATTCAAGAAGAAAAATTGAATGGACATCTGAAGACAGTTTCATATGTGGAAACACCAATTATGTCTACATATTTGGTGGCCATTGTTGTCGGATTGTTTGATTACGTTGAAGATCATACTTCAGATGGTAAACTCCTACACAATATCCTTAGTTTCATGTGTATGTCAGTGCAACCTTTTTTCTTGATGATGTCACATTTGATGTCGTTACAGGGGTCAAAGTGCGGGTATATTGTCAAGTTGGTAAGGCAGACCAGGGAAAGTTTGCTTTGCACGTTGCTGTCAAGACACTTGAATTGTGCACAGAGTATGTGTAAAAGTTACTAATCATTCATAATCAAGTTGGCAATTGCACTTGATGCATGTCATGGACTAATGTAGCAGTTTCTCTAATAGGGTCCCAAGAAAAATTGTTTGGAGGATTCTAGAGAAGAAAAAAGTAGTGTAGCATATATCTAAGCAATAAAGGATATGCATGGAGGAGCAAGGACTGCAGTAAGAACTCATGAAGGAGAAAATGAAAGCTTTCCCATAACCATAGGGTTACACCAAGGTTCAGCTTTAAGTCCTTACCTTTTTGTGTTGATAATGGATGAGCTTACAGGACATTTTCAAGATGATATCACTTGGTGTATGCTTTTCGAAGATAATATAGTACTGATAGATGAAACGCATGAGGGAGTGAATGCAAAGCTTAACCTTTGGCGTGAAGAGTTGGAATCTAAAAGTCTTCGTCTAACGTCAAAGACAGAGTATAGGGATTGCAAGTTAAGATAAAGTGGGGGTCCAGATGAGATAGGGTGAGGGTTGGAAATCAGGAAGTACCAAAGAGTGAATGCTTTTGTTATCTTGGATCAATCTTGTAAAATAATGAAGAATTAAATGAAGATCTCAACCATAGAATACAAATTGGACAGATAAAGTGGAAGAGTGCAGTGTGTGTGTTGTGCGATCGTCGTATGCCACTAAAGCTCAAGAGAAAATGTTATAGGATGACAATATGGTCAACAATGCTCTATGGCACGGAGTGTTGGGCTGTCAAAAAGCAACACGTGCAAAAAATGAGTAGTGAAGATGTGAATGCTTCATTAGATATGTGGGCACACAAAGAATGATATGAGTAAGAACAAGGATATCCAAGGTAAAGTAGTAGTGGCCGCAATTGAAGATAAGATAAGAGAAAATCAATGTATTAAAAGACGGAGTCATTTCATAGATAGCCTCGTCTAGGCATGAGGCGTGAGGCGAAAGCCTCACGCAACCTGTATAACTTAATATATATTGCATATATAATTATACATATAGTATAATACTTTGGATATAAACGCTAAGTGGAGCTATTATAGGGAATTTAAAATGAAATAAAGATTCAGTGGAGCAATTATTATAGGGTATTTAAAGGAAATAATGGCTGAGTGAGTAGTTGTAGGAAATTTCAAGAGAAATAAATCTTGGCTAATCAAAATTCTAGGTGGCAGAATCTGAATGGGCTATTAATAAAAAACAAAAACATAAAAAAAAGTTAAGAGTTAAGACTTTGCCACTAGGATTTGGAGAGAGAAAATTTCTTTCTTCTTTCTTGAAACTAGAACGGCACAAAGAGGAATGGCAGAAACAGAGGAACGGCAGAAATAGACCTGGAATTGGAATGAAAAAAAGGCCCAACTGAACACCTGGGCGCGCCTCTGTCACCAAGGCCCCTCGACACTTCATTACGCCTACCCTCACAAAACAGAGGCGAAAACCCAGCAGCCCCGCCTCCAAGGGCGCCTAGGCACGCCCCGAGGCTAGTTTTTTAGAACAATGGAAAATCGTTTAAAGTGGTTTGAACACGTGAACCGAAGATAAAAGAAACTTTAAGAAAAGATATGTTGTACCTGGAGCTAGTGAAAGACGACTATGAAACGGAGCTTCAAGGCAAAAGGGGTGGAGGAAGATTTAGGAAGACTTGAAAAGAAACTTTAAGAAAAGATATGTTGTACTTGGAGCTAATGAAAGACTTGTCGCAAAACCGAGCGTAGTGGCATTCTAGGATTCAATTCATACAGCCGATCCCACTTAGTGGGATAAGGATAAGACTTGGTTGTTGTTGTAATTATGCTGCATAACATTCCATTTAATATGAAATCATTGATGATAAGTTCTGCAGATATTTTGCTGTGCCATACCCGTTGCCCAAATTGGATATGGTTGCAATACCTGATTTTTCTTTCGGCGCTATGGAGAATTATGGTTTAGTTACATACCGAGAAATAGTTTTGCTTTTTGATGAACAACATTCTGCAGCTGCCAACAAGCAAAGAGTAAAATGCGCATCCTGACTGTTACTGCTTTCAGAATTATCTTGGTTAATATGGTAGGGAGGTATAGTTTTAGCACTCAGTGATACGTTTAATCACTTTATTTGGTTTTGGTAAAAGGTTACAATTGCCGTGGCACATGAATTGGCACACCAGTGGTTTGGCAATCTTGTAACAAAGGAATGGTGGACACATTTATGGCTGAATGAGGGATTTGCAACATGGGTATCACTTCATATCATTGTTATACTTGTTAGTTTCCATGCTTTTGTGCTTATAACTAAGTAGTTTAATGTCATTAGGTGAGCTATTTAGCTACTGATAGCTTATTCCCAGAGTGGAAAATATGGACTCAGTTTCTTGATGAAGTCACTGCTGGTCTTAAGCTGGATGGGCTTGAAGAATCTCACCCCATTGAGGTACTTATTCGTGCAGTTGGTCTTTCTTGGGTTTCATTTTAATTTTAATTTCCTTAAGTTTGCTGTTTCCTGGCATCGAATCTGGATCATCTGCACAGAAGGCTTTAAATAGTAATATTCACCATTATAGTTTTCAAGGCGTTATTATTGGAGAGTATTAGTGTGTACAAGTCTCTCTGGTATTTATGGTTTAATCTGTTCTTTTTGGCAGGTGGAGATCAATCATGCTGCTGAGATTGATGAAATACTTGATGCAATAAGTTATAAAAAAGGTGCTGCTGTTATTCGGATGCTACAAAGCTATCTAGGTGCTGAAGTCTTCCAGGTATGTCCTTTGATTTGTCAACTAGTGTGCTTGAAGGTTGAAGGAACTATCTTATTTTCTATGATATAAAAAAGTTAGACAGTTAATTGCATGCCACTTTTTAATGCATCCAGAGGTCACTTGCTTCATATATCAAAAAGCATGCTTACTCAAATGCAAAGACAGAAGATTTGTGGGCTGCCCTTGAGGAGGGATCTGGTGAATCTGTAAACAAACTAATGAGTTCATGGACACAGCAGAAGGGTTACCCGGTTATTTCTGTCAAAGTCAAAGATCAAAAACTGGAGTTTAATCAGGTTTCCTTATGTTTGCTTCTTTCAAAGTTGTTTGGTTATCAAATAAAATTCTGAAAGATCCTCTCAAGCTCTAATGCACATATAAGCTGTTAAGTCATTTGTTTAGGTTTTATTCCACGGTACAAGGACACGAACAAAGAGATCTAATAAGTTAATTAATGTATGGCAGACACAATTCTACTCAAGCGGTTCCCAAGGCGATGGGCAATGGATTGTGCCGATCACATTATCCTGTGGCTCGTATGATGCACGCAAGAATTTCCTACTACAAGCGAAGTCTGAAACTCTTGACATAAAGGAATTTCTGGGTTGCTCAGTGGGAAAGGCTGGATGTGGAGGCACAAGCAACAAAGACAATGCTTTATGCAGTTGGATAAAAGTCAATGTGGATCAGACTGGTTTTTACAGAGTGAAATATGAGGATGAACTTGCAGCTGCGCTTAGAAACGCTATCGAAAAGAAGCAATTGTCTGAAACTGACAGATTTGGTAATCATCATTTCGTATGCATGCTTGTTTTTCTCTTTGATAGTGAAAGTTTTCACCAATTTTTTTTTCCTTTCACAGGCATTTTGGATGATTCCTTTGCCCTATCAATGGCCCGCAAGCAGTCTTTTGCTTCATTGCTTACCTTGTTGAGTGCATACAGAGAGGAACTTGACTATATCGTGCTGTCAAATTTGATTACTGTAATGATCGCCCCTACATTGTGTTTATGTTACTGCATTGATGACCTTGGCCTGATTCTGGTCCTCATGTTTCACAGATAAGTTATAATCTGGCGAGAATTGCAGTCGATGCTGTACCTGGATTACTGGATCACATTAAACAATTCTTTATTGGACTTTTCCAGTATTCTGCAGAGTAAGCTTGTTTTTTTCTTAACAACTCAAATGCCTACGTAGATAAACTATCAGGACACAAGATTTGCTTCTGTCTTTTTCTTTAATTTTGTTAAAAGTTTATCATTTATGATGGAATTTCTTTACAGGAGGCTTGGTTGGCAGCCTAAACCCGGCGAAAGCCATTTAGATGCAATGTTGAGAGGAGAAATTTTGACTGCACTTGCTGTTTTTGGTCATGACCTGACGTTAGATGAAGCAAGTAGGCGTTTTCATGCCTTTATAGAAGACAGAAACACACCCCTCCTCCCCCCAGACGTTAGAAAGGTTGCTTTGACGTAAATCATTAATTACACATACCTAATTAAACTTTTAAGTTCATCGTTGATGTTAATTATGAACTACTGTTGCAGGCAGCATATGTGGCTGTAATGCAAAGAACAAGCGTATCTGACCGATCAGGCTATGAATCTCTTGTTATACTCTACAGAGAGAGTGATCTAAGCCAGGAAAAAACCCGCATTCTAGGTAAACATAAGTAATTAGTAAAATAATGCTGAACATATGAGGCTGTTAGATTGTAGCAGTAATCGATGTGTCTGTGCCTGTAGGTTCTTTAGCGTCTTGTCCCGATCCCAATATTACACTGGAAGTTCTCCACTTTATATTGACTCCTGAGGTATTTCAGATTTTCTTTCTCTTAATTGGAGGTTGAAGTTTTACTTACAAGTAATAATTTTGAGAATCTCAAAGCTTGATATGCTGATTTTAATGCCCATCTACGTAGGTTCGCAGTCAGGATGCTGTATTTGGACTTACTGTTAGTAATGAAGGTCGGGAAACAGCATGGACGTGGATGAAGGTAACTCTCACTAGTTTACGACATGCTACGAAATGTTTCCCACTTTCATGGATTTTTTCTTTCTTTTTCCACTTTTGCTGCTATGATTCATTTTTCCATTTGGATTATCCGAAACCAGGATAACTGGGAGCACATCTCAAAGACCTGGGGGTCTGGATTACTAATTCCTCGCTTTGTCAGTGAAATTGTTTCACCGGTTCGTTCTTTCTTTCTCTTGGAACTTTCGTTCTTATGCTCGAGGTCTTTTGCTGTGCAACTTAGATTTCTAATACCTCGTTATTTCCTTCTACCTTCCTCTGCAGTTTGCTTCATTTGACAAGGTTAAGGAAGTAGATGAGTTCTTCAAAGCACATCCAAACCCGAAGATAACTAGAACAGTGAAGCAGAGCATTGAGCGGGTGCAAATCAACGCCAAATGGGTTCAGAGTGTTCAGAGCGAGAGAAACCTTGCCGATGTCGCGACGGAGTTGGCATACGGGAAATACTAGGATTCCATGTTTGGCTGCATCTGTTTTATAACGAAGATTATGGACTGGTTTGGTATTGGTGTGCTTTACAAAAAACTGCTTCTGCTGTGCTATGAGAATAAGCAGTTGTAAAATAAAGCAGAAAGTGTTTGGTAAATTTATTTGTAAAAGTGCTTTTGGAAAAACAAAACAATATTATACTGCTTGGTAAACTTTTATGTAAAGTAACTATGATGGTGAGAAATAATAAAAAATGATAAAATACTAGATGTGCCATAAATTTAATTTTCTTAACAAATAAAAGTGAACTATTAAAGTTATTGAGCAGGGATTGGATTTGCTTGGTTTCTCATGTTTAACGTGAGAAGAATAGAGTGGCTAATGATATGGCAGATTTAGGCCATAAGTTTGACATTGTTCTTCATGTTTTTTATGAGTCTCCTTCTCTTGTGAATAGGTTTGATCTTTGAGGATGCTGTTAGGTTTCCTCGTACCCGCTTTGTTAATAGTTAGTTGTTTTTCTTGGGTTTTTTGAACCCTAATTTTACCTTAAAAAAAAAAAAAAAAAAGTTGAACTACTAAATATTCTTTTACCAATTTATGTAAAGCAAGATTCTTTCACTATTGCATACCTCTAGACTGACAACACATTCGTAATCGCCTCCAACATTTTCCCAAATTGCAGTGGTGGCATCGAATCTTGCAGTGGCCAATAAATTCCCAGATGGGGACCAAGCGCACGATCGGACGGTTCTGGTGTGCGTTTCATCCAGAACTGCCTGCAACCCATAAAAACTCCATTAAGAACCGACCCATTTAACAAAAAATGGAAATATTAAATAAAATTAAATGAAATGATGGGTTACCTTACAGTCCCAAGAAGAAGTGGAGGGGTTTTGTTCCCAAATACAAACGGTCTTATCGCCGCTGCAGGAAGAGAAGGGAAGGAAAGGGGGATTCCGGCGACACCAGTGGCTGGATTCCAGGCGAGGCTCCATACCCTATCGGTGTGGCCCTGTAGCGTCCGAATCTCACGCAGCTCTTTTGCTAACTCCATGGCCAAGTGAGGCTGTGAGCTTTGAGGAGTCGACGACCGCGAGGCAGAGGATTTGACTGTGTGAATGCTCTCCTGCATTTGTTGCACTACTATAAAAAAAAACTGGAGTAAGTTCAAAGATTAAGCTGTGAATGAAGTTTGAGGTTGGGGATTGGGTTTGGGGCGACGAGTTGGGAGTGAACGAATGAGACGGGAGGGAGACAACCAGTGAGACGACAGAGCAAGGAAGACGCGAGAGGTGAGGGTAGGATTGGCATTTGCAAACTTTCATTAAACATTACTGTTCATCGTGTTTCTAAGATAAAAAACCGGTTTTTAAAAGCAGCAAATGGCTGCTTCCACTTTTCAACTGTTTTTTGCAGCAATTTTGAAAATAAGTGCTTTGTCGTTAAGTTATCAAACATAATATTGAACTCAATTTTTTTTCATCCTTGCTTTTAAAAAAGTTTAAGCAGTACCAAACTGGTACTGTGTCTAGGACTATTTCCAAACTTATGTAACTTGAACTTGCCAAAACAAAGAATAAAGAGACATAAATAATTGTACTAGTATTCTCTCAAGACAAATGCAACCATTACTTGAATCTCATGTGATCTTTTTACAAGATGGGGACTGATAACACCACGGACCGATGTTACGATCATATGAACAAGTTACTTCGCTTGATTGCCGTATATTTTCTGAACTAAATATCTTCCTTTGTCATCTCTGGTTTATCTTTTTTGGAAGAAGATTGTCTGTTTCTATTGTCTATCCCGCCAAACAATATTTCTACTCTAAACTACATTAAGAAGGGAGCGAGTAGGGATGACAATTCTAATCGTTAAACCTGTTAACCGTGGGTAATCGTTCGAATGGATTGGATTTGGATATGCTAATTCAGGTATGGTTTGGATATGGGAAAAAACCGTTAATTTTATTCGGTTATAGTTTTGGATATGGTTATAGGGGTTCCCAATCCATATCCGTACCCGAATCCGATCCGAATATTATATATATATATATTTGATATATATTATATTTTATTCAATTATGCCTTTTGAAGTCTTGGAATCTTGCCCACAACGTGTTCAATTATTCCTATCCCTATAGTACTAATTCATTATGCATGCATTAAACCTTATACCATCTTTATTATGCACCAAACATCATACATGGGGCATACGAACAACCTCATCAATTCAATACTCTTATTGTTATACTCAACCAAATTAATTCATTGAATCATTTTATATATCAATTATCAAATGTTCCAAGTTTATTAAATTCATCTCTCTTCAAGAGTCTCACTATCAAGAAATTGGTGCATGTTGTAAGCTCAATAGGTAATCTTTCATTCTTTTTCATGTTATTTGATTCATGCAAATTATCAATTAGCGTCAGTTTTTTAGTTTATTACATATGTTATGAGCCCATAGAATTATGCAAAATTAAATCAATAATTGTCTTCTTGTTTGTTGTCATATATTTAGTTTATCTTTCATTCGTATTTGTTTTTGTCCTCTTTTTCTTTTTTATTGGACCAATTTATCATATTGGCTTATCATGAACAACTTCAAATATATATTGTTATGTTTTTTGTAATTGGATGTGGCTATTTAATGGCAAAATTAGTATCTACTAAAATTTATAGTGTGTCAATTGGATGAATATATATATTTTTTTTGACGAAGATGGATATAACCGATAACTGATTGAAAATCCGTTACCCGGTGTATATGATTATGGATAATCCCCGATGGTTATTTTGTGGTTATGGATATGATTAATTTTCATGGTTATGAGGATGGATATAACATTTCCGTCCCCAAATCGAACCGTTGCCATCCCTAGGAGGGAGAGTTTGAACTTGGAAAACTGATTATAGATAATTTTCATTTACAAGGCCCGTTAATAGGAGGTCTAGCCCAGTCAACATTTCCCCTTCCTTCTTAAACGGCCCAATATCTACCCGAGAAATATATAAACCGGCCCAAAACACTTCATCAGAGAGTGAAAAACTCGGACTTCGCCCCCCCCCCCGCCTCTGAACCGGTTCGCGACACATGGGGATCATCGCCGATTCACAGAACAAGAAGAAACCTTCTTCTTCTTCCACTTCTCCCTGTGCAAAACTCAGAGACGCCTACCACAATTGCTTCACCAGGTCCTCTCTGCACAAAATTAGTTTCCATTATTGCCCTTAAACCCTAATCTCTCTCCTCTCTCTCCTCTCTCTCTCCTCTCTCTCCTCTCTCTTCAAAATCCATTTTTCGTTTTCTGAAAAGGGTATAATGGGTATTGTATTTGTTTGCAGATGGTACTCGGAGAAGTTTGTGAAGAGCCAATGGGACAAGGAGGATTGCGTTTCAGAATGGCAGAAATACAAGGCCTGCCTCGCCGTGCGTTTCCAAATCTTACCCTTCTTCTAAATGTTCATCCAAATCACAATTAATAATTTTATATAAATATTTTAATTATTTTATTTTCTGGGTTTTTAAATTTGTTTTTGCGCAGGAACATTTGGAAGATAAGCAGCTGAGTCGCTTCTTAGAGGCTGAAGGCAATGTGAACTCCACCACCGCTGACGGTGGCTAACGAAAACCGGCAGCGGCGGAGATGTTAATGCCGGTCTAGGTTGGGAGTTTTTTTTGTTAGTCTGAGAATGAATTAGAGAAATACTTCTTAGTCAAAATGGTTTCTGTTTAGTATAACACCTCACTTTGGTCGCCTTCGATAGAAGTGGTCATTTGTACAATGTCAATCATTTTGGTTATTTTATGAAAAATATCCGGTATTTTTATCTAATCAGCCCCTCCACTTCTTCTCAAGACCATTTGGTCAAAAAAACCTTGAGAAATCGAAAACTGAGAATATCGAGTTGGGTTCGAACTGTGTAACATTGGGCATCAACATTCTGTGAAATTGTACGTTTTTGGTTAGTTTTCTGTTGGAGTTTTGTGTGATCAACCAGCAAAACTGGTTGATAATTTGAAGGGTTTATACTTTTTACAATTTCTCAACGGTCACATTATTTGAACAGCAAACATGCACTTTGATTTTTGGCATTGCTGATTGCTTTTACACTTCATTTTCCATTGGCATTGCTTCGTACGCGAACAGAGCTTTGATTGCTTCGTTTCTTCGTGAATAGGAAATGAACAACCATCGACTCTTCTCCTTGGTTGTACGCGAACAGAGCTTTGGCTGCTTCATTGCTTCGTACGCAAACAGAGCTTTGGCATTGCCACCGAAATGAAGAATGTAGGCCAATATACTGTCCATTTCACGGCTGAATCCATGATTGATTTTATGGAGCAGGAAGCCTCTGTTTCAAACGTGCTGATATCACCGATGACATCTCTACATTCTGCAGCTCTAGATCCGTACACACCGTAACAAAAATAACTTGAATCAATATCGCGGCACATAGTCCAGCAACTCAATCTGGTAAAGAATTAATCGCTTACGCACAGGCATTGCTTCTCTATGGAAGCTTTTTGTGTCGTCGAGCTGCAGATCCCGGTAACTTTGCAGTTGCTTTATCTCTGTGCAATGCACAATGACAAAGATTCCCAGCCACACCCAACATCAAGAACAGTGTGACCATCTTTTATCCGTGACCTTTCACAGTAGAGCTCCAACACTGCTTTGAGTTCTCACGCAAGTGTGAATCCTGGAAAACATTTAAAGTGTTGTCTGCAAGAATCCTATGATTGGTGCTTCTTGTAATAAGCAATTCAAGTTCTTTTAGAATCCAAAAATATTTCAATAGCGTTTTCAGTCATGATCACGGCTATCTTATATTTACATGGTTTTGACGGAAAGATAACTAGAAAGTCCAACTTTTGAGCTCATCTATGCCCACCAAGGTGGACCGGACCCAAGTAGAAATAAAGGCCGAAGTATGATTTTGGTCATCTAGTAATTTAAGTTATGTACTTTTATTAGTTGACGTAATCAAGGATAATGTCTTGGTCTATTTGGTATTTTAACATCCTTAAAAAGATTGATTCATGCAAGTGGCTTTCTACTGCAATGGTATAGAAGATGTTGTTCTTACACCACGGCGAGGATTCAAACCCCTAATTTCTTCCTTAATCTAACAAATCTATCTTTTAATCAAAAAAAAAAAAAAAAAAGATTGATTTATAATTACACATGTTTTGCTAAGAACAAAATTAACCATACTACGAAACTTTAAATTGCTACGTTTGAAACTACAAGGATAAGTAAAATCTTAGTTAAAATATAAGGTTAAAATTATTATGGTAGTGATCTTGACGCTCTTGTTTTTTACCCAAATAATGTTAGGGAAGTTATATTTTTAAATCATATTGATGTACTCACACGTGACGGATGATGGATACAACTAACGTTCAATCAGATAGATCCATTAACTGACGAGAGATATATACGTCACTTAACACGTCATCTGATAAGCCAATGTGATATAAAAATACAGCCTCTCTAACATTAATCTTTCGCAATAATTTTTTTGTTTCTCTCTCCTAAATTTCATTAGTTAAAAGAGATAGTAGGCACAGAAAAGAAAACGAAAGTCGGAAAATCATTATTTTTTAGACGAAAGCATAGTTATCGTTCACGAAATACAATGACCATTATAACCTCGCCAAACTGGTACTAGAACGACTCTCTAATCACTCCACCGTCCAACACACAGAAGACAAAACTTCTATTTTCAATCGCCTTTAAAATTCGTCACGGTGAAGTTTTTCCCGGAGAATCTTCACACGATTCCCGAGAAAATACCCAAAACCAACCACACGGCTCGCTCGACCAAGACATCCATCTGCACGGTGTTCATCGGCTGAGACCCCGAGCGACGTTCCTCCGGCCAAGAGACGCCCGGTCCTTGCTGGTACTGTACATTTGCAGTTTTTTTTCATATTGTCAGAATTTCTCTTTCGATTAATCAGTTCCAGTGTTTGGATTGTTATTCAAAATCATCTGTAGGGGGTTTTAGAGAAAAGTTGAATTATTTACAAGTTTCCATGGTGGGTTTGGTTGGATATGGTCTAATTAGATTAATTTGTATGCAAAGATAAAGTATCATGTTGCAGAAAACTGAGAGTAGGGAGGATTACAGTGGTGGGAATTCCAACAATGTTGAGTTGTTGCGTGACATTGAAGAACTAAGCAAAGCCCTTTACTTTCATAAATCCCCACCGAAGGTTTTGCTTTCCTCTTCTGATGGAAGATCCAAATCTGCTGGGAAAACCCGTTTTTTGGATTCAAACCCGAGATTTGTTGGGGAAGATTTGTTGCACAAGGACAAGAAATCGTCTTCGGTGTGGAATTGGAAGAAGCCCTTGAAGGCTCTCAGTCATATCGGGAATCGGAAATTTAGTTGTTGTTTTTACCTTCATGTGCATTCTGTTGAAGGGTTGCCTCTGAGTTTTAATAATCTTAGTGTATGTGTGCATTGGAAGAGGAAGGGTGAGGTGCTGCAGACTCAGTGTTCGAAGGTTGTGGAAGGCGTAGCTGAATTTGATGAAACTTTGATGCATAGGTGTTCTGTGTATGGAAGTAGAAATGGCCCGAACCATTCGGTTAAGTATGAGGAGAAGCTGTCGTTGATCTACGTTTCTTTGAGTGGGGTCCCAGGGCTTGACATCGGGAAACACTGGGTTGATCTTACGAGGCTGTTACCACTTACTTTTGAGGAGTTGGAGGGGGAAAAGAGTGGTAAATGGACAACAAGCTTTAACCTTTCAGGCAAGGCTAGAGGTGCTAATCTAAATGTTAGTTTGGGATTTCTGGTGATGCAGGATAAGTTAATTAATGTGAGGGCTAAACCAAATGTTCCTGAGCTTCTGAACACAGGGTCAAGGAGGTCAAGTTCGTTGGACGGTGGAGCTACAATGCTTCGCCCAGTTGGGAGTTTGCCACGTAGTGTAACTCCCAAGCCTGCCTTCTCATCTCAGTCTCTTGATTTGAAGATTTGTCGCGAAGTACTGCTGAATGGAGGGTTGGAGCTCTCCAAGTCAATTAATTTCTTGTGTCAGACACTTGATGAGACGAGATTGAGTAGTGTAACAGAGTCAGATTGTGAACATGTGCCGCCACTTGAACCTAAAACTGATATAGACTTTTCGTTTGCTAAAGGAATTGAAGAATATGAGGATGATGACGATACTGAATTTACCATTGTAGAAGTGGGGACAGAAATGTCTGAGATGGAAGAGTTAAAATCTGATCAAGTTCCCGGTCATGCTAATGATGAGTCAGAAGCAGTTGAAATTATCAATGTGGATGAGATCATTAATGGTTATGACATAGACCTCGAGGAGAAGACTATGGTTATTCCAAAGGAAGCCCATGGTAGTTATGTGGACGAGGTTGTGGTGGATGACCGCAAACATGAACATGATAATGTATGCACCCAGGGATTGGCCATGGATGAGGTGGAGTCTGCAACTCACATGCTCTTGATTTCAGAATCAGCAGATTTGGATCGTCCATTTTCTTCGGGAGAGTTTCTTGAGGAAAGGAACCACACGGAACTTAAGTTGACTTACAAATCAAGTAAAACAGGTAAAAAATCACTTAGTTTGGACGATGTAACTGAATCCGTGTCAAGTGATTTCTTAAACATCCTTGGTATGGACTGTAGCATGAGTTCTGATAGTGATGCCGAGTCTCCTAGAGAACGTCTTTTAAGAGAGTTTGAAAAAGAGGCTCTGGGTTCGGGAAACTTGTTTTTTGATTTTGATTGGAAGGAAGAGCAGCCCGAAATTGGATCCTCTGTTTCACCAGGTTCTGATTCTGGAGATTGCTTTGAGAATTCTGATTTGTCATTGATCATTGAAGCCGCTGAAGAAGAGCACAAGAAAGAAAGTGAGCTATTAAGAAGAAGGAAGGCCAAAATTCTTGAAGGCTTGGAGACTGAAGCTTTGATGCGAGAATGGGGATTAAATGAAAAGGACTTTCGGAATTCTCCTCGTACCTTCTCTGGTGGATTCGGCAGTCCAATTGAGCTCCCCCTTGAAGAGCCACTCCTACCTCCACTCGGAGAAGGCTTTGGTCCTTATGTTCGGTTGAAGGGTGGAGGCATTTTGCAGTCTATGAATCCTTCACTTTTCAGAAATGCTAAAAACGGTGGGAACTTGGTGATTCATATTTCTAATCCCATTGTTATACCAGCAGTAATGGGTTTTGATGCTATCCAGATAGTGCAGCATCTGGCAATGGTTGGAGATACGCTGCATGAGTGTGTGAGTAAACTAATGCCTTTGGAAGATATTACCGGGAAGACAATACAACAAGTAGCCTGGGAGGCAGCGGCTGCAGCGCGTAACATAGTGGTGTCTGAGAGGTTTGTGAGCACAACAATTACATTGATATCTGAAGTATTGTGATTTCAAATATTTCTCTATTTGTTGGCTTAATTCTCCTCCTTGTTTCAGGTTTGAGCAGATTTTATATCATGGGAGGCAGGATGAAGGATTTCCTTCTAGTTGGAGTTGTCATAACCTGAGTTCTGCCGAATTGGGATGTAGTGAGATGGGGTCGGACTACGTATCTCTAGAGTATCTTGCCCCTTTGGCAATGGGAAAAATTGAAGCTCTTGCAGTGGAAGGGTTAAGAATCCAGTCCCGCATGTCAAGCGGGGAGGCACCTCCAAGTATATATCCTCAGTCTGGAGGTTTGCAACTATGCGGTTTTGGAGACCGTGTTGTTGATGCTGAGGGATTAATTGCTCTGTCTTTACCATTGGACGAGTGGCTGAGGCTAGATGCTAAAATCATTAGTGATGAAGATCACAGCAGAGAGCGATTGTTGAAAATCCTTGCTGCCCATCATGCCAAGTACACAGATTTGGTTGATAGAAATTTGACACAAGAAACGAACTGCGGTGGTTTATCCGGTAGGAACTGTGGACTTTTGGGGGACAACCTCACAATTGCTCTCATGGTGCAGCTTAGAGATCCCTTTCGAAACCATGAACCAGTGGGTGTTCCAATGATTGCTCTAATTCAAGTGGAGAGAGTTTTGGCCAATTTAATGCCAGAGGTGTCAAGTGTGCTGTTAAACGATAGCAAAGAGAACGAACACGATGAGTCAGTCTTTGACGAGATTGGGGACATGAGAAAAGGGGAGACAAATGAAGGAGACGAAGGATGCAATCCTCAGTTTAAAATCATCGACGTCCATCTTGCAGGAGTGGATGCTGCGCCTGGAAGCAGGCGGCTTTGGGGTACCACAACCCAACTGCATTCTGGCTCCCGATGGTTGCTTGGCGCTGGCATGGGTAAGACCGCTAGTTTTCCAGTCTCGAACTCCAAAGCCATTGTAAGATCATCCACACCAGTGTCAGCAAAACATCAAAGGGATTTTCTATGGAGCATTTCCTCTGATTTTCAAGGAACAGGAGCTACCTGGAAGGATTTGATAGCTCCACATGTTCGAAACCCGAATGTTATATTTCCGAATGAAAGCATCAAACCACACACGTAAATCTGTAACATGTAGATGTGCTTTCCTTGTACAGATTCTTTTGTTTGTAGAGCGAGAATAGAGATGTTAAGCTACTGGTTATTATGTGAATTATAGATTCTGTTGCATTATACTTCACACAAAACCGATTCATGTGCATTGATTTATTTTTATACAAACGATATTTTACTTTTTAACAAATCTCAAGTGGGTGCGGAATTTGAACCTGGGTGCCTAAGGAATTATATCCACTCTAGCCCAAGTAATTATGCCCATTTGTGCCGCAGACTGTTAGTTTGGTTTTGGTTAGGAGAAAGTTTCATGTCATTTCCCTCTTCAGCTAAATACCATGGAATTGAGGCTGTTTTAAGTACTTACTCGAACAAAAATTCTTGAGTGCGCCGGATTACTTTGCATATACCAGGTGTTTTAACCGTTAAATCTATATATATATATATATATGTATATATGTATGTATATTTAAACAAAGATTTAATGGTTAAAACACCCATAGTATCTCATAAAGTCTTCTTACTAGAAACATCTAATGCTTTTCTGATGTCCATGACATAACTTAGGACAAAATGTCCGTTCTTCATTTAAGGAAAGAACATTGATGTGATGTATATAACATTAACATCTAACACATCGATGTCAAA